GGGGGGGGGGGGTTTAAAAATTTTATATTCAGTAGTTACCCCTGCTCTTTTGTTTCTTACACTTCATATGGTTATTGAAAAGCTTGAGTTGCTGATTGAGTATCATGAGAATGGATTGGAATTAGATACAAGATTCATTTTGATGAAGTTCTATTGTGAATGCTATCACAATATTCACTAGATCCGAATTCTTGTGGCTAAATTTTGAAATATTCAAGTTTGTATATGTTCAAGTCCTTGATGTTAATGGTTGGAGCAAATATAGGTGATGTCAATTACAGCTGGTGTATGAGGTGAAAATTTGAAGGAATATAAAAAAGTTAACACACCATCTCACAATCATCTTGCTACTTTCAAAACAAAAGATCATGGTGTCAATAAGGAATATAAAAAGATAGGAAGATGAAGGTCTGTTGTTAATTCTCAAACTTCGAATGAGCATGGCATCTTTTGTTGTAAAATTCCATGTTTGTGTTACGTTAATCATGTTATGCCTTGGCTCCCTTTCTATGGTCACTTCATTTTACTTTCTTGGCAGGAAGGTATGGCACCAATAAATTTGGTAATTGAGACAGAAATGCACCGTGCAACTCCTGGTGGAACTGGAGGTGTCAAGACTATAGGAAATTATGCAGCAGTAAGCTAGGTTTACAGAAAATCAGCTTATTTCAGATTTCTGTTTATGTAACACAAAGTTTAACCTGCTGAAAGCTTTGTTTGAAGCCTTAGTTCCATCTTCTTGGGGATTAGCGATGATAAATATTCATGAAGTCCCACTTAGCTTGTTTATCCTTTTCGTCACCATCCTCACCCTCTATTGTTCCTTGAATATATGATAATATCCTCTACATTCAGCTTTCCCCTTGAACTTCTAAATACCATCTAACAAGCATATAAGTCATTACTTCAAATTTGCGCATTCTTGTGCAACTGACCTTGAGTGGTCTCTCTTATATCTTGGTTACACTTGATATTTTCCAAGGTGGGTTATAGTTTTATAATCATGTTATCCATGGAAGTATCTACTGTAAACTGCCCTAGAGTGGCCTGTCTTATTCCTCGATACTTTTGAGCTTTTCACTCTTGTTTTACACTTGATGTGATTACAAGGGGGGTTGTAGTTCTATAATCATATTATTTCCTGGAAATACCTAACCTTAAAAGAGAGCTGGGATCATGAGCAGAAAAAATGATTTGTGCTTCTAATTATTTGATATCTAACTTATAGTTCTGGAATGAAATGAGTCTAAATGGACCAAATTGGGTATTGAGGATTCATATAGCTGACCAAAACAAGCTTGGGATTGAGACATGTTGTTCTTGTTGAGTATTGAAAGTCAAATATGCAATTGTTGATTATTTCATTTTCATCTTTGGGTTTTCGAATGCAGGTTCTGAAGGCACAGAGTGCTGCTAAAGCTAAAGGCTACTCTGATGTTCTGTACCTTGATAGTGTGAACAAAAGATATCTTGAGGAGGTTTCCTCTTGTAATGTTTTCATTGTGAAGGTATAATTTTACGTCAATTTTATCTGTGCAAGTTAAGAATATGGTGGGCCAATAAACATTGTTGCTAGCTAGAGAAGAGTACAGTTGTTGAGATTCACCAAGTTTTTGTCAAACAGTGGCATTTGTCCTACATGGATACTTTAAATTCTCTGCACAGACTTCTTTACACATTATCATATTGATGAAGGCAACTATTTCTTTTAAATACTATTTTCTCAGGGCAATCTGATAACAACTCCTGCAATTAAAGGAACCATTCTTCCTGGTATTACACGAAAAAGCATAATTGATGTAGCTGTAAGCCAAGGATTCCAGGTACCCCTGTTTGCCTTTACATAAACATGCTTGAGTACTAATCCTACTTGCCATCGCATAATGGTATGAATACTTAGTTTTTGTGTTTCATTATGGCAAGCATTTGGAGTTCCTTTTTCTTAAAGTTGAATTATCTGATAGCCTTGGTATATAAGAATATATAGACCTTGTAACTGAACTAAGGAAGACGTAAAGATGACGTTCGTCATATTTGTAATGAACACCCGTCTAGAAGACTCGAAAGAAATGAATATTGTGCTTACCCAATCTTAGCATATAAGATTCCGACCTAGTTAAATGAAGATAATTATGGGTTTTACATTTTCAATGGATAAGCAACAAAGATGTTGCGGACTAGGGGTGTCAAATGGGCGGGTAGGGCTGAAATTAAGCGGGTCAAAATGGGTTGAATTAATAAATGGAACTAATTGGGCTAAAATGGGCTAAATAGCGGGTTGGGTCATGACTGCCCAATTTGACCCACTTAAAATACAACAGATATCAAATTTCAATGATCTAGATCAGGCCTCACATTTAAACTTTGTAATGTAATTATCTTCTAGTAATATAAAACTCCAATGATGGATCAGCCCAACCAGTATTGTTAACAACATATCAACTGCCAGCTTAATAGGTAATTAGGTATGCTTCAATATGTTTTTTGACAAAATAAAGGTTTTCAATAAAAGAAGTACGAAAGGTGGTACACAAAACTACGTGACAGAAGGCTCAAAATCAGCCTAATTACAAGAATCTTTTTGCATATCGCACCCAAGCTCAAGCATTTCGAGACTGTTGAAATGGAATACCAAGTTTGCATAAGCTATGTTAGAAACTAATCTATCACCTTGGTTGCCTATGAACCTAAACATCATGTGGTGATAAAACTTTTAAGAAAATCCATTAGAGCAAACCAATTGCTCCTTCTACATTCGATAGAAACCGTAGGCTTGCACCGGTCAAGATGTCCACAAATACTACATAAAGAACCAATCATCGCAGCATGACCTGCACAAGGGCACATTATTAGCTTAATCAACATGACCTACAAGTAAAGCCAATTAATGGCAAGAAAGATTGATCAAGAGCCCATCCAACTTTATTGAATTCTTATCTCTTTGGGTCATCATCTGCAGGATTCATTAACTACTACAAAGATGTATGGAAGTTCTATAAGCACAATCTAAGGATAACAAGCAAACTAATCAGATAAACAATCCAAGTCAGATACGAACAAACCAGAGTAAAATAACAATGAAGTGTGCATAAAAGGTTATACCAATACTATGAAAATCAATTCCAACTGTCACTGTCAAGTCATTTACGGAGAAAGAAACAGAAAAACAAAGGACTTGTAGTGACAACAACTGTTCTCCAAGAGGATAGAAACTTATTCGCCCAATTAAAAACAAATAATGACTATTTCTTCCCGAACTCTCCGACAACAAAGCACAAGTATTGTCTAATGTCTAACTTAGCTACTAATGTATCTGCGGAAGGCTAGAAGAACAAAAACCTGCAGATATCACCAAGTTAACTGAAAGTTTTGGCAGCAATTTTCTCCACGTCTATTGCAATGATCTTCCTCTTCAAAATCAACAGTAGGTATATACATACACATACAGATTAAAGAAAAATTTGTCAAGCTACAAGATTTGTTTTATAAAACAAATTATATGATAATATTTTACCTTGATGACCATTCTCGCGAACACAACTTAGCTTTTATATTCTAAGGTAAAATAGAACTTTGTATTTACCAGTAACACAACCTCCGATGCTGAAAATAGATTCGGTTGCAACAGTACTGATAGAGGAATACTTAACAAATCACGTGTCATCAATGAGAATTCCAGATATTTGATCTTATTATACTTCCAAAACTTAAGCGCATCTAGATCTTCATTTCTTTTGCGAACCAATACGGGCTCTTCCAAATAAAAATCTAGTTGTATCTTTTCTAAACCAAGTTCAAATGGACTTTCATAAATCTAGGCATAGATAGAGAAATAATACTAATATGTATGTGTAGTCAAACACTAATAATTAAACGCATTAATAACAAATATATGGACAATGAAATTAAAAATAATTTACGATAATGTGTTATATAAATTGTTTGACCACCACCACATACTGAATTGTGGCCACACTGAGTCCAAAGTAGTGTTTACTATTATCAGATCAACCACGGGCCTCATGTGATTGTTCTACATTTTATCACATCAAGCTATTTAAGATCTTCACCTTCCCCTTTAATTGTAGATGTAGTCTTTATATCTGTAATTTTGATTAATACTGATATAGCTCATAATTTATTTAAAATTCGGTTATAATGTAAACATAATTTTTTGGTAAAAGCCCAAGAAAAAATTTAGTTCCTAAAATGGGGAATTGTGTATATGTATCAGTAAAATTGGTAATTTTGGCAATTAAGGCTAATATTAATAATACACTAGGGCAACTAATTTGTCTGCCCCTGCATCATTTTTCTAAAATCTTATGCCTAAGATTTTTTTTAATAAAAGGCCTTAATCTTTTCAATAGAGTATATATATATATATATATATGCACACACATATGCAAAAGTTATTGTTTTCTTTCCCTTTTTTCGTACTTGTATATAGTGTAGTATTCTTAAAAGCCAAAACCTTTTAACTTCAGATAATAATGATATTACTTATATCGGTAAGAAATAATTCAAGTTAATAAGATGTTAGCCATATGTTTGCAACATACTACCTTAGATGTTATTGTAAAAAAACTTTATTTAGTAATGTGAAGATTTGAGTAGTTTAACTCAAAGTTCTAAAATATTTCTACTATTAAAAAGTAGACAGTCTTTCTTTCTTTTTTCTAAAGATTTTTATACATTTTTCTTCTTTTTTACAAACTTCAATACTATCTCAGCGAAAATAAAATCATAAAATCCAAAACTAAAATTTTTTGGAGCCGAAAAATTTTGGGGCGTAAAGCAAACACTTTACTAGCCTTCCCCTTGTGCCACCCCTGTGCAATAGCCAGATATAAATGAACAAGATAGCAAAGATAGTATTTTTTTTTAATTGCAAAAAAGAGAAAGTCAGGGAAACCCCTTTACCCACAAGAATCCTAGAAAAAGCTTAGTGATTTTAAAAGAAAACTAGTTAATCTTAAAAAAAAAATTGCTAAATAATTAATATCATACCTTTAGAAAAGAAAATAAATATTCTCTAATCAATTAAGCGTGCTTACATGAATTTGGAGAAGAACATTTTTCTTTCTTTTTCCTTGGCATAGCTTGATCAAATAGTATACACATACACAGAGACATATTATGTTCATCGACTACTTGATCAATGCAATGATGTTATGTAACTTCATTATTTTGTTAATTAATTGTCTAATTCAAGACCTCCGCCTTTTCCATTTGTAATAATCACTCAGTTTTTAAATAGATGAATAAAACAGCAATAAATTATAAAGTCAGAGTTGTAAACCTCGAAAATAGTATACATTAAATATTGTATCATTCTTGTGGTTATAGATAGATTCATGCAAAATGTTAGAAAGAAAAATTGTTTATCAAAAGAGTATCAGAACACTTGTACAATCTGAAGTCTACGAAGAACAAAAAAGAAGATCGTTACACTAAATCCGACTAAGATTATAACAAAATTCGGAAGGAGATCGTTACAGAAATAACTTTAGGCCCTTAAATGAAATGTAAAAGAACACATGGAAATCTGGATGTAGAATTAGATACCTCCAACAATTCTACCTTTAGAAATCAAACAAAAACGAATGAATTAATTAATTTGAAAGAAAAAACATAAACCAGTAAATATGTTTCTAGAACAATTTCCCACTTATTAACTCACTTCAGATGTTCACAAGGCAGCCTTCAATTTTCAAGGTACAACAGGAAAAAAATACTAATCATTTTCCAGAATTCATCTTCATCTCCTTTTCATTTTCTTCCATTTTATCCCTTGACCTTTTATAAATGTCAGTCTTGTATGAGAATCCCCTGTTCTCATTACTATTTTAGCTCCAAATGATAAAACAAAGCTTGAAACATAAGCATGACTTGTCAACTCCAGATTGAAATATGATTTTTGTTAACATCTATCAAAACTCCTTCAAATTAAGCTTGCATTCTCAACATTCTGCCTGGACCTCCGTCACATCTTCACCAACACTTTCTACTATCCTGCAAATTTTTGATTCGTATGTGCCAAGAGAAAGGTCTTTAAACAAATGGTCTTATTTAGCATTAAAGGAAGCTAAAACTTCCAATTGAAAGATCACGAAAGTACATAATCTGCAGCCTCATGAACAAAAATTGCATGGGAAGAGATAGCAGGACCATTTCGGATTTTCGTTATCCTTCTCATTCATCTAATGTGTATATGCCCCTGACCTGTGTAGAGCTACAATACAAAGGTTCAGGATTCGGAATAAAGACTGACATCTATAAAGTCATAAAACATTTTCCAACAATGACAAGGAATTAAGAAAAAAAAGTTAATTATGGACTGCTTGCAGTAGAAGAAACGGTATCGGGCCGATGAAAACTGCAGTTGATGGCAAAGTGGTTCTGTTTTTCTTCATTACCTGGATAATGACACATGAAAATCAGATATAGTTGTCCCTTTATTTAACTAAGAAAGACAGATTTTTCTGAATAAGAAAAACGCATACCAAGTACATGTAGTCATGAAGGCCCCAGGATATTATCATCGCTTTATCAAGTCCACATCGTTCAGAATAAACTCCATATTAAGTTATTAACACACATCATTTAAAATAAATTCCATATTTTCTGTTTTAAGCGGAATTGTGGCATTCATGATCTTCCTTAAAATGCTACGGAATAGGCAACTGTGCAGTAAGAAAAATGGAGTTCTAGGAGGAAAAGCAAGACCCAGAAATTCACTGCATAACAAATTTCACCAAATCACAACTGTTGTGTTCTGCAAGGTACAAAGCTTTCATGAAATCCAACCAAAAAAGAAAAGTAAAGAAAGTATGGGTTATAGCAACAAAAAAGAGAGGGGAGAATATGAGTTGTAAAAAAAGAAAAGAGAAAAGAAATAATGTAACCTTTTGATTTCTTTCCGCTAGTAAATTGGTTTTACGTCTACTGCACCTAAAGAAAAAAGAGGAAAGAAAAGAAGTAAAGGCAAAAAATTAAAATAAATAAATAAAAAGGACATGAGAAAAATGAAGTTTTGGAAAGAATACCAGTATGGTAAAGACTTACTGTATCACCATTCCGTCTTTGATAATTTCAAATTGTGCTTTTTCATCTCTTTACTTTTCTCTTCTTTCATTTCCTTATGTTTTTCTTTTCCTTTTCACTTTTTGTTCCCTTTTTCCTACAATTTAATTCCTCCGAAAAATAAGAAACTGTCGGTATATTAATCATTTATTTATCTCTGTAACATCTTATAACAGACTCAGAAATCTTCCTACTCATTGTGCACGTTGTTTTTGGTACTATTCGACACTCCCCATGAAATTTCTTCCTTTTCTTCTTTGTTGGATTTCTTTTTTTTTGGTACTATTCGACACTTCCCAAACGCAGCCCACTTCTAATTCATCTTGTGCCCAACCCATGTAATTCTGGGCGGGTTGGGCGGGGTCATCAATCTTTGGGCCATATTTGACACCCTATTGCGGACATATGTAACCAAGAGTTGTTTTCTAGTGTTAGCTGTGAAATGTTTGGCTTACAATCTCTAATTTATGCAACAAGGGCAATGTTTCTCCATTGCTTAAATCACCTAGACAGAACTATTGAGTGATAGAATTGAACTTCAATAACTATGGCATATATGTTGGTGCTGGAAGAACAACAGAATCTTTCAAGTTCAGTTCTTTCCACAGTGAGTCAAATTTGTAGCAAGGACGTTTTGATGATTAGGTTCCTGACATAATGATGGACTTTACCTTACCATTAAACAATTGAATTTGGGATTGGATCTATCTTTTAAAAAAAAACAAATGAAATTGGGAAAGAATGGGAACTTCCTTTACTTTTTCTGCAAGCAGTTCACTTGGCAGAGCCAGTCACTAAATACTTCATGCATGACAGGACTATTATTCTAACACCATAGTATTAATATGTAGGTTGAAGAACGGCATGTGTCTGTGGACGAATTGCTTGGTGCTGATGAAGTGTTCTGCACAGGAACTGCAGTGGTTGTATCTCCTGTGGGCAGTATTACTCACATGGGAAAAAGGTATATGCATAAATTGGAATGGATTAACATCTTTTTTAATATAACCCTTTTCAGTGTATTGTCTTTTTAGTTTTGTTTCCCTCCTGCTGCAGCGAGTGAGACGGCATGCCGTATGCCATGAGATAGTGATTTGTAGTTAGTCCTTTTCAATACATGAATACTAATGCGAATGTTCGTATTGTTGGGAAAATAAACTTGGGAGAAATAGAAAACTAATGGGCAATGGCTTTGATAGAGTGATCTATGTCCAGAAGGATTTAAGCCAAAATGAAATCCAAGTTCAGCAAAACTTGAATTTCCCCAGTAAATAACACAATTTGAGTTTTTCAGAATATTAATGAGAGAATTAAAATCTGACTTCAACTAGGTTTTGGAGGTGAAAGGTAATTTTATAATACCTTAAAACACGACTGTTGGAACATGCAACTTTTTGACAGCACCTTCAACCATCATCTTTTTATTTGAAATTTACACTTGCCTTTTCTTCTCTTTCCAATCACAAACTACACTAACACGTGTGGATATCTATGCATGACTTTAGAAGGAAAAGAAATATCTAGGTTTGGAAGGTTTTGATTAAAGACTTGCTCGTTTACATTTTTGCAGGGTAACATATGGAAGTGATGGGGTTGGTCGTGTATCGCAACAGTTATATTCTGCTCTTACTAGCCTACAAATGGGACTATCAGAGGATAAGATGGGTTGGATTGTCGAGCTGAAGTGTGCTTTTGCATCTAAGGGATAGCACCTTTGTGTTCTCCTTTTGCTAAAATTTGTGTAAGTTTTTGACTTGTGACATAGACTTGTCTCTTTATCAGTTAACAATTTCGGTGATTATATATACTGGGTGAAGGAGAAGTAACAGCTGGGTGTTGTAAATTTTTCCTCTAGACCCCAAAAAGACACAAGTCTGTTTGGTGAAACTGCTTTTTTCTGATAATTTTCAATTTTATCCTTGTGAAAACTCCATTATTGTACATTTAGAAGTTTATTTGACAAATTGTAGTTCCTAGTCCTATAAATGCCTGGCCATAGATATGAGAGAACCTGCTATAAACAATTGAGGGACAGAAGGCTACCAAAAGTATAAAGAATTTTATGGTCATTACATCAGAATATGAATTGCTTCTCAAGAGCCAGTAAGTTTCCAATATATTGTTTGTGCCCGGATAAAGGAGAAGGGTTCGGTAGGTTGACACTTGATAGCCAGCGTTAAGTTAGTCAATTTCGAATGCAGAGCTAGGTCTCCTTGTCAATTACATCGCTCTAACTCACTTTTTTTTTCTATTTATTTGTGTTCGTATTTTAATTATTCAATTTCGGTTACTGTCGCTGCTATTGGTTTCATTCCCTATCTTTCCGTAGATTTTACAGTTCAAAGTTATCATTTCAATTAAACACATCATTAAAAATTGCTAGAAGAATAAACTACAAATGGATTTAAAAGCAAGGATATGAGCAGACATCCGACATTCAAAAATCTATTTCTTGTCAGTATGTCATTTTAGTTTTTAAATTTATATACTTCTCTGCTCTCCCCCTTAGATTTTAAATTAAAGTGCTACCCATGCAATTCAGAAAAGGTAAGCTAACTACCCCGAGCACGCGAGAAAGAGAAAACAGGATAAAGCTTTCAGAAAAATCTTTTTTTTCTCATGCAATATACTGGCGTGGTTTATCAAGCTGCAAAGCATCGTTTTATTTCTGTTTGTATCCGGATGTTTTTCTATTTATTGGTATTTTCTATTCCTGCCAGTGAAAAACTTCTGATTTACCAATTTAAAATTCCTTACGAATAGATTAATATACAATTGTGATTTTATGCTTTTCATGTAAAAAGGGAAACTTGAAGAACCTTTGGACTCAAATAAGACACTGCAAAAGAACATTCAAAGAGCTCCAATACTCAAAACGACAAACACAGGAGCTCCTACACTAATCACTGCAACTCTCTCCTCCGCATGCTCAAATATATATGACAATAAAGCCTGAAACTGTATTTAACAAAGAGTATATATTTAGAGTTTAACTCAGGACAATGTAAAATTTTTTACCTCATCAGGGGTCAGGTAAAAGATAATTGCAGGTGCTCTCAAATAAAAGAGTGGATTATTAATCTAGAAAATAAGGTTTATTACTTGCTTCAGCATTTTCACTTACATCGACAAGGTGACCTTTTTTTGCAGTGTCAGTATATATAAATTCTATCCATCTAACCAGGGGCGTATCTATTGTAGAGGTTAGGGGTTCATCTGAACTCATGCTTTCACTCATACCCTGTACTTTTGCCTAATAAATCATTAAATTTATACAAATAATAAATTTTGAACCCATTAAATTAGATGGGATGTGGTAGAATTGCCAATATGAACCCATAAAGTTTAAATTTTGGATTCGCCTCTGCATTTAACATCACTCCTCCCCCTCCTCCTCCTACTACTTACCACCACTGTCAGTCTATCGCCATCAATTAGCAGTAGTGGTGGTAGTGCTGGTGTACTACTACGTAATGTTACATTGTTAATTTATTGTTATTGCTGCTGCTGTTAGTTGTTATGGTTAGTCATCAAATCTCAATGCGCTATTCTAGGTAATTTCTAAGTCACTGAAGTGAGACTTCATCTTCCGGTTGCAAACTAAGTTGTCATGAACAATATCAAAATAGGGTCATCAATTAAAGTAAAATAAAAGCTGCATTTTCCTGGAAAAAGAAAATAGTGCAAAGAGACTTCTAATGTTGATAAGTTAAGATAGACGGCCAAATAAACAAATTGCACGGAACTTTGCTAGTAAACACGAAACATGGAGAGGCAACGCATGCCCAATTACATTGAAAACCCTAGCCAAAATAGCTAGCATCTGTGGGAGTTATTATTTTCTTTTAGTACAAACAATGAACAATTCCCATATCTGATATAACTCAAATGATACTTTAAGTACTTTTAATTTATCGCAGCAAAAGGTAGCACCTTATAGCTACTTGGAAGGTTGTTACATATCTTTTCATGATAGCTGTATCATATTATATTGTGTTGTATTGTATTGTGTATATTGTACATTTAATGCACTGTATTATTTTTATTAATATAATATTTGAATAAATTGTATTTTTTTTCCGTTATTTCATAATGTCACACACCAACAATATGAAGTATAAGTTTACAATATTACTATTAAGAAAAAGCAGGATACGAGGTAGAGTTATTGTAATTAAAAAAAGCTACGGTAAGGAGTAAAATAGGATTATGAAACAAAGTAAGGCCAAGATGAGGGGGAAAAAAATAATGACACGATCATATCAAATCGAACATTAAGTATAAATGGCATATATATACATAATAACGGATTTGAATACGACACAATAAAATTTAAGTAACTAACAAAACAAACATTGTATTTAATTTAAAGTAGCACTACCATACGGTACGATATAATAGTTAACAACCATCCAAACAAGTTGTATGTTTTCAAGTCCTAACTTCCAACTTCTGACAGAGTCGATAATCTCTACCTGTTATGCAGAGGATTTGGTCCTGATGGGATACATCTCTTGTCTTCCGAGCTGCTATTAAGAGTTTGAGACTGACGAGAAACATATTCATGTGGAGATGAATATTTAAGGAGGTTCTTCTTCTTCTTCTTCTTCTCACTTCCTGTAGTTCCATAACCATCAACCACAACAAACTTGACACTCGCTAGAATGAGCAGAATTGTTACAAGTATCAGCATAAATAGAGCCGGTACGATCATGACTCGATGGTTTGAGGAAGTCATGCTACTGATCATTTGAAGGTGTAGGAGGGGAACAATATTTTCGATTTAAATCGTCTGGTATCAAAGTCCACTGGTCCAATTAATTTGAATTTGTTGGCACGTACTAAGATTGAGCAATGCAAGTATAAAGAGCCTCTTAACAGTTCCCTGCCTAAACCAAGCAAGCTTCAAGAATCAATCCATTATCAGCAAGACGCGTGATATGGCTCAACCAAAAAAGGTGAGCGCCTAGTTAGCGCAAGCAAACGGCCTAGCCAACCAGTAATCTTTCTAAAGCGAGAAGCAAAAAGGCACAAGAGCTGCAAGAAGCCGTTGCATTAGCGAGAAAATAGCCTACTAATGCAGTCACCGCTTTGGGTCTATGCTGCTTCCTAATTCTTGAAAACGAGCCTTGCTTGGTAGATACATTTATAAAGAAGGGATGTCAGGATTTATAAGTTGTTTTCCCACTAGTTGAGATTTTCGGTTCTAGGTTTGAATTGGGCTTGACTATGGGCCAAATTCAAATATAAGAAGAGGAGTTTTCAGAATGCACTATAGTTTAGAGCCTAATAACTATAGTTTGCCTAATTATCATTCTTACCTATTGTTCAATTGTTACTAACTTGTATCACTTGTATTAAACGCGCAACGAATACAGCCTATATCAACTGTATTAATTCGCGCAACGGATACAACCTGTATCGAGTGCATTCGTTCGTGTAATTCTATTCATTCGCGCAACAAATACAACATGTATCAATTGTAACCAAGGCGAAATACAAGGGTGTATACAAAGGATACGACTTGTATCGACTGTATATAGGGTGTATACAAAAGATACTGTAACGACCCGGTCGGTCGTTTTGCGAAATTATGTCCCATTCGGCGACATAAGGTCTTGAGAAGCTTCGTATTATGTGTTATGACTTGCTGCGTGGTCTAGTTCAGTTACCGGATGATTCGGAGTCAATTTGGAAGAAGGATTTCAGTTTTGGAAGTTTAAGCGGTAAGAGTTAACTGGAATTCGACTTTTGCGTAAATGGCTCCGGAATGGGTTTTGGATGATTTCAACATCTTGGAATGGTGATTTCGGTCTAAGGCGTGCGTCCGGATTTGGATTTGGAGGTCCGTAGGGTAATTTGAAGCATTTCGGCAAAAATTGGAAAAAGTTGAAGTTTGGAAGATAGAGAAGTTTGACCAATAGTTGAATTTTGTGATATCGGGGTCGTAATGCGTATCTGAGAGTTGGAACAGCCTATTATGTCATTTGGGGCTTGTCTGCAAAATTTGGCGTCATTCCGGGTTGATTTGATAGGTTTCGGCGCGAGTTTTAGAAGTTGGAAGATTTGAAAGTTCATAAGTCCGATTCATGGTGCGATTCGTAGTTTCAACGTTGTTTGATGTGATTTGATACCTCGAGCAAGTCCGTGTTAGGTTATGGAACTTGTTGGTATGTTTAGACGGGGTCCCGGGGGCCTCGGGTGTGTTTCGGATGGGCTACGGGCCATTTCCTCCTATTTTTGGACTGCTATTTTCTGTCATCTGGTTTCCTTCATCGCGTTCGCTTCCATGCCTTCGAGTTCGCGTAGTGTTATTTTGGAGGATGAAATATTTCTTCTTCGCGTTCGCATTCTTCCTCTCGCCTTCGCGTAGTTCTGCCTTTCCCTTCTTCGCGTTCGCGTAGTAGAAACTAGGAGCTGGGCGCTGGTGACTATTTCCTCTTTGCGTTCGCGTCCTTCTTCCCGTGTTTGCGAAGGTATGCTATTCCGTTCTTCGCGTTCGCGTGTTGCTTCACGCGTTCGCGAAGCCCAGTCGTTGAGCCATCTAAATCTCCTCTCCGCGTTCGCGAAGCACATCTGGGCAGCCTTTACCTTTTCTTCTTCGCGAACGCAATCCTCCTTCTGCGTTCGCGATGCTTTAAGACCTAGGCAGAATAAATACTCCCTCTATTTCAATTTATGTGAACCTGTTTGACTGGGCACGAAGTTTAAGAAAAAATAAAAACTTATGGAATTTGTGGTCCTAAACAAGTCAAAAAGGGGCCCAGAGTATTTGTGTGGTTATAAAAGCTTCTCATTAAGGCTAGAATTGTAAGTTTAAGCTAAATTGTTACCAAAATTAGAAAGGGGTCATTCTTTTTGGAACGGACCAAAAAGGAAATAGGTTCATATATACTGGAACGGAGGGAGTAGTACTCTATTCCGAGGGTTTGCCATTTTCA